TATCAATGAAATATTAATACATTTGTTAAAATGATTAAAATAATATTTCATGTTAAAATGTTGAATATCATTATTCAAGATTGATAATAACATCATTTTACTTATTGTTAGTTATTTGAAATACACTTATTCTTTAATTTGTTTTTTTTTTGTTTTTCTATTCTTTTGTATTTCAATTAAACCATATTGAATATTTTCATTTGCTATTATTCATTATGGTTTGAAATTATATCATTAACAAATCATATTTCTTATTCTTTTATATTCATTTGTTTGTTGTTTACAAAATTACCATGTATTATCTTTTTCTTTATATACAATAATATTTCATTCCATATCATTTTTAAACAAATAATTATCTGATTAATTATTTTAATATATACAGTTATTCTTTTATATCTTTTCTTCATTCCTTTCTTTCTTATTTTTGGTTCTATTGAAAATACAAATCCAATTAATTCAATTATATAATACTCAACTTTATCAATTTTAGAACTAACATATTCTCCAAATTTATTTATTTCTTCATCTTCAATAATAATTATACGTTCTTTATTCTTTGATAAAATACTGGTGTATTAACGTTCCAGTAATCATTATCTGATTCAAATATAATACTTCATATTTTTCTATTTGTCCATTCTTCTATTTGATGAATTTATTCTCATTCTTCTCATTATCTCTTCATATTGTTTCTCTTTTTTTTAATACTCCCCAAATAATATTGATAATTCTTAGTAGATTAATGAAGTTTTTGGTGAACATGTGGAAGTTTTTCTATTACTTCTTTAATTAATTGATTATTAACCACTGCTTCCATTTTTATTTTTGATTTAATACAGTTCTTATTCTATATTATCTTTTTTCTTTACTTTCATTTTTATTTAATCCTCTTATTCTTTCAATTTACTTCTTATTCTCTTATTTTCATTTTAATTTCATTCTTTGTTCTTATTATACATTTCTTATTGGTATTATCTTTATAATCACATTATTTGTTCTTATTTTTTATTTATTTACTTATTCAATTCACTTCTTCACTGTCTTTCTTATCCCATTCTTTTTATGTCTTTTATTACTACTGACACTCATTTTCTAAATAACACTGAATGTCAATTTCTTATTTGCTTTTCATTCTAAGAGTCAAGAACATTACTCAATAACAAATATAGTATAGTTTGATATTCTTTTCATTGAAAAAAGAGTCATAAAAAACAATAATAGGAAATAATAAAAAGAAAAATTTAGTTCAATATACAGCTTCTAAACAAGAAATTATTTCTTCTGCTCTTATTCTTTTTGCAGACTCTTGGCACCAGGCTGATTCAATTAGTGATCTAATTGGTTCTTGAACTTCATTTATAAGAGAAGGGCGCTGTCCTTGTGCAGTTGCATTGGCAATTGACCATGGGAATTTAAATTCTGATTTAGGAAATGGATCTTTCCATGTAATGATTTGTAACATTGTTATTGAAAATGAATATATATCTGATGGCATTTTATAATGTTCTCTGTTTAATATTTCTGGTGCCATATAATTTGGTGAACCTATCCCTTTTGTGAATGTCATATTTGTCATCATCATATTAATGTTTCTTGCACTTCCAAAGTCAGTTAATTTCAATTAACTTCAATATTATCATCAAGTGAGATAACAAGGAAATTATCTGGTTTAATATCTCGATGTAATATTCCATTTGAATGAAGATATAATATTCCTTTTGCTCCATCTATCATGAATTTGATTCTTAATTTTTTTGATATTTCT